ATTCTTTTGGCACTGGTTTCAAGGTCAGGGTACATTTCTTTAGTTCTGGTTGCAGGCCCAAAGTGTGTTTCTTTGGCTCTGCTCAGGGTGTGTTTCTTTGACTGGTCTCTTTTCCCTACATTCCCCCTTTTTTGTTTAATAAAACAACTGGGGTTTGGAAAAGGGGCAGTGTTATCCTTAGACTACTTCTGGCTGCCAGGTTCTCCCAGCAACCCTCAGTCCCTACCTGCTCAGTCCTCCTGGCTGGTATACTGTAAATGGAAGTTTCTATGCTGTAAGCCACTCTCAAGTAGCCACATAGAGGCTTCATATTAGTTATAAATGGTCAGTCAATAGCTCAAGCTTGTTGCCAGCTAATTTTTACATTTTCAGATAACCCATATTTTTATCTGTGTTTTGCCACACGGATTGGTACCTTTTTTCAGTACAGCAGGTCCATCTTGCTTATCTCTTCACATGCAAGAGACTCTTGACTCTGCCCTTCTTCCCAGCATTCTCTGTTTGGCTCTCCCTGCCTCCCCTCAACCAATCAGTTTCTTTATTAAGCCAATCACAGCAACATACAGCTACACAGTGTAAAGGAATATTCAACAGCATATCCTGGCCTCCTGGCCTAAACGTCTCCAGTCATTTTTCTTTTTTTGGCCTCTTGGTGTCCTGGCTCTCCATCTCCTCACAGTCTTCTAGTCCTGTCCATTCTGGACTCTCCCAGATGCCTCTGTTTCCACATGTGCTCTCCTTTATATCTATAATAAAAACTTCAGCCCCTTAGGAGCAGTCACGTCTTCCTTTTATTTTTTTAAGATTTATTTATTTATCATGTATACATAGAGTTTGCCCACTGTATCACATTGTTAGATGAGCTATATAGGTACAATACCTTGAACAATATTAGAAATGGATGTACAGTATGTTTTAGCAAAATTGGTCTCAAATTTGTATCAATATACAACATTTGTATACTAGATACAGAAGTCCAATCCAATGTAAAATATTTAAAACTAGTGGTTGCTTTTTAAAGAGTAGATTCAATAATCTACCTTTTCATATTATCGTATCTATATCCTCCCTTTATTCTTTTTAGAGTAGATTCAATAATCTACCCTTTCTATCCTATCTGGATTCCTCTTTTTGTTTTTCAAAGCAAAAACCTTGAATCTAATCCTCTCTGTTCAACTTTTTTCCTAATCATAAACAACATTTTGTGGCCGGGCGTTGGTGGCGCATGACTTTAATCCCAGCACTTGGGAGGCAGAGGCAGGCGGATCTCTGTGAGTTCGAGGCTCTGGTCTACAAGAGCTAGTTCCAGGACAGCCTCCAAAGCCACAGAGAAACCCTGTCTCGAAAAACCAAAAACCAAAAAAAAAAAAAAAAAACAACATTTTGTAACCAATCCCCCTAAACAATGACAAATATCCATAACCCAATGAGTGACCAAAAACCATCCATTCAACCTCTTGGGAATGTGAGCATTGTGTTGTTAAAGTTACTTCTGATGTCTGGGGGTGATGGCATCTTTGGGGGATCCTGAAAAGAAAATTTGGGTTAACTGTCAAGCTGTATCATTTATTGTTCAGTTTCTGTGTAATGAGTAAGTACAGTACTTGTTTATTCTGCTAAAGTAGTCTATGAGGCTGGATCACCTCAGCTAGCCACCTCTAAATTGTTATTGGTTTACAAAGCTGATCTTTGGTGGTGGTGTTTAGCATAATGGTGCTGTCACAGTCCTGGTGAAATTGTCGTTGTGGGGCACCATCCTCCTTTTGGAAGCTTGAAAGGTCACTGTTAGCTGTGGCCATGGTTCACTGTAGAAAACTGATAGAGACTCAAACCTGCAATCATGTACATGAAGATAGGCAGAATCTTTTTCTAGAATTGGTTAGTACTCTATATGACCACTAATATCATAATAAAAGTTATGAGATTAGTAGCAATACAATAGTTCTAAATATTTGTTTTTCTTCTGTTTCATATCAGATGGCTCTTCTGACATAAGACAGATATTGGATTATACATTAACAAGATATCGCCACAAGTTTGTTCCTCCCTGTAGAAAGAGACAGTAGGACTGCGCCGCTAGCCAAGCCCACTTTGGGCGTGACTAGAGGCACAGTTCACCGCGCTTTCATTTCCACATCCCTACGCACCTCTAGTCACGGCCAAAGTGGGCATGGCTAGCGGCACAGTCCTAGTGTCTCTTCCTACACCTCTCCCTCCCCCCAAAACTGCTCAAATAAAGCTAGAGAATACAACATAAATTGTGGGACCCGGCCTGACAGGCTTGCCGATGGTGGCCTCCAAAGCACAGCAAGCCACAGAAGCTCAATGTGAGGCACATTCACTGTGTGCTGGCTGTCGGTGTGTCTGAACTCAGTGAGGCAGAAAACACGCATGCAACAAGTTATATGAAAACAATTTATTACCCACAAATAAGGCCGCAGGGACAGCAGAAGCCTAGATCTGTGAGCCAGTCAGTCAAGGCTCATATAGCAAGCTGCATGGGTGAAGAAGTAACACCAACTACATCACAGATGTGTGGTTCCAAAAGGCAGCCTTCGTTATATCATATACCTATGGAAATATGTGACTGTAGTGGTTTGAAAGAAAATGGCCCCCATAGGCAGTGACACTATTAAAAGGTGTGGCCTTGTTGGAGTAGATGAGGCCTTGTTGGAGGAAGTGTGTCACTGTGGGGGTGGGCTTTGAGTTCTCCTATGCTCAAGCTACTCCTAGTGTTAACTTCCTGTTGCCTGTAAGATGTCAGACTGTCTACACACTGCCATGCCCCACCTTGATGTTAATGGACTGAACTGTGAGACACATTTAAATGTTCTTTTTAAGAGTTGTCCTGGTCATGGTGTCTCTTCACAGCAATAGAAACCCTAACTAAGACAGTGACCTATAGGGGTCTCAAGTCTCTGCCTTAGAGTGGTAAAGGGCATTTGGTTCCTAGGGAAGGCTTAGATGGACTGAAATGGCAGGTGTGACATACACATGCCAAAAAACATGTTATTTCTTAAGTGTCATCCACTTAAAAAAATAATATAGGGCCTTTCACTAGCCTAGAACTCCACAACTAACCAGGTTGGCTGGCCACTGAACCCAACAGATCGCTCTTGTCTCTACTTTTAGAGGCCAAGGAGTATAAGCACCCCCCCACTGTACCCACCACTTTTGGTGTCAGATGCAATAGTAAAAGGTTTCTGAATACAAAATGATTTTTTTTTGTAATTCAAAATCAAGTATGTAAGGAATCCAAGGTGTTTCTGGCAGTGCTCAGCTGCCTTGCACCATATGACTGTGCTGCAACCTTGGTTCTGAGCACCCAACATGCAAACTGTACTTCAAGCAGGATCAGACATCACAGCTCAGACTGAGACCACTGTATGGAAAGAATAGCAGTATTTTGTTGTTGCTACTTTTTTTTTTTTTGAGACAGGGTTTCTCTGAAGCTTTGGAGGCTGTCCTGGAACTCACTCAGTAGACCAGGCTGACCTAAAACTCATAGATCCACCTGTCTTTGCCTCCTGAGTGCTGTGAGTTCAAGGCCAGCCTGGCCTACAGAGCGAATTCCAGGACATCCAAGGCTTCACAGAGAAAATCTAGGGGGGTGGTAGTTTTGGAGGAATTGTTAGCTTTCTCATTAAGAATCATCAAATGAGGCCGGCATTGGTGGCACACACCTTTAATCCCAGCACTTGCCTTTAATCCCAGCACTCAGAAGGCAGAGGCAGGCAGATCTCTGTGAGTTCGAGGCCAGCCTGGTCTATAGAAAGAATTCCAGGACCGCCTCCAAAACAATAGAGAAACCCTGCCTCAAAAAACAAACAAACAAACAAACAAACAAAAGACTCATCAAATGAATTTTGACTTGGGACTTAAGACTAAATTTCCAACTGTTTCTGAAACGGACACAAACATATTTCTGCCCTGTGTACTACATACTTGTGCAAAGCAACATTCTCCACATCGACTACTATTTCACTTAGTGTGTTTCTGGTGTGTGTACATGTCCCTATGTGTGCACGTGACCTGTTTATTCAAATGCATGTGCATGTGAAGGGCAGAGTCAACATCAAGTGTTTTCCTCAATTGCTATCCACTTTTTAAAAAAAACTGTACTTCTCTCTCTCTCTCTCTCTGTGTTTGCTTGGGAATGCTTCTCTCCTTCTAAATAAATAAATGAAAGTGTAACAAAAATCTTAAATGTCAGCCTGGGAAACTTTGCAAGACCCTAACTCAAAACTAAAGCGGAAAAGGGCTGAAGATATTGCTTAGTGATAATAGCGTTTTACCTAGCAAGTGTTGAGGCCCTGGGTCCATGTTCAGAACTGAAAGGGGAACAAATGAAAATAGAAATACGGAGATTTTCCCCCCTAAGCAAGACCATTGGTGTTCTATCCCACCCAACTTTCTGAGCCAGATACCAGAAAAACCGCATCCCAGCAAAGCTCACGTCGAGCCAGGATTGCCAGAGTTCGAGACCAACCTGGGTCACAGTGAGACCTTGCCGCTAAAAACAAAACAAAACAAAAACCCTACTTTCCAGCCGGGAGATCTCCGAGCTGGGGTTTCCCTCACCCACTGCAGCCCCCAAGCACTGAAAGCACCACACCTCGAGCATTTATGGCTCACAAGTCTTGGAAACCTTCTAGTGATCTAAAAATTGGAGTGTCAGAAGGGAGGAAAACCCCGAGAGCCTTCCTAAGAAACCAGCCACACGATCCCAACTAGATCCCGCTCAGCCTCCACCCCTCCTAGCCTCGCCAGACGCAGCGGAAGTCGGCGTGCGGTCGCAAACCTCACTTTCGCCACACTTAGGTGGCCACCAAAAATTAGATACAGAACCCCTTGTCTAAACGCAAGCTTTCCGAGCTCTATTGTAGAATTGGACAACGGAAACTAAAGTCCGTAATTTTTTTTAGGGGTCGAAGTGGCCCGCAGCCGTGGCGAATCTACCGGTATCTCTCCGGAAGCGCGACCCTCTTACCGGAAGTTGCGTTTCCTCCATTTTGTGGCCCGCTATGGCGGCTGTGTTGAAGAGGCGACGGGGATGCGGCGCCTTTGACTGAGGGGATTAGGCCGGGCGAGGCATCTGGGACGTTGTGCGGCACCGCAGCAGATCGGCCCGGACGTCGGGGACGCTGTCATGTACGGTGCCGGCGGGGGCCGCGCCAAGCCAGAGAGGAAAGGAGGAGCGAAGGAGGAGGCCGGGCCCGGCGGCGCCGGCACTGGGGGCAACCGGGTGGAGCTTCTGGTTTTCGGCTATGCCTGCAAGTTGTTCCGCGACGACGAGCGGGCTTTGGCCCAGGAGCAGGGACAGCACCTCATCCCCTGGATGGGGGACCACAAGATCCTCATCGACAGGTCGGTTCCTCCCCCCACCCGCCGACCCTCCCCTCCCCTCGCCCGCTTGATTTCGCCCGAGGTTGACTTGATGGCCAGGACCGGAAAGGGGGTTTTGCAGAGTCCGGGGACCCGGGGGGCCTCCCTGCCCCACGTTCCCCCGGCGTCCGGGGGGAGGGGACGGTGAAACCGGCCCTAAGGCTCCGGCCAGAGCTGGCGCCGCGCCGTCGCCGGAGGGATCGACTCTGCTCCCGCAGCCCCCTCGAGCCCGGGCTGCCGCTAGCGACTCAGCGCGGTGGTGGAAGCTGCCCGGGCCTCCCGCCCGCGCCGTGGGGCGGGTGCCGCGCTGTCCCTCCGCTCGCTGTGCGGGAGGGGAGCCCGGGAGTGCGCTTTTGTTCCTCCGGAGCGCCGCACGCCGAGGCCGTGGGTAGAAGCTTCTTTTGGACCCCGTGAGTTAGCCTGAGACGTCTATGGCCGGCTTGACTTTTGGCGTCCGGCGAGCCCCTTCCCCGCGGTTATTCGACCATTTGACCAACCGCGGTAGTTGGTGAAGTTGCCGTCTGTTGGAAGGCCGGTCGACCCCGTGCGGACCTTGCTCTTAGGGGTAGCGTTCTTAGAGCTGGTTTCACTGTTTCCTAAAAGCTGAAGGGTGGAGCTGGGTTACCTTTGTGTTGTTTCTTTTCAAATCACACCCACTTAAGGGTGCCCTGAGTTGAGGGTAAGGGGGGAGGGGGAGGCGGGACTGTGGATTTTTAACGGTGTTTGATTTGAAAAGGATGGCATTACATGATGTGGGTTGTTTGCTCCCCACCTCTCTTGTCATTTCTTTTTCCCAGTCCCCTTTTCCTTCCCCACCATCCTGGGTTTGGGTATTTGTCCTTCCAGTGGGCAATATTGCTTCTGGGGCGAGGACTGAAAGGCCAACCATTAAGCTGTGGAGTGGTTTTCTCCAAGTGAAGGAAACCCATCGTTTGAGACAAGTAAAAGTGGATTCTGCGAGGACTTTGGAACATGCATGACTGTAGGGATGGCCTCTGAGCTGGCCAGAACGGACACATAAATGACCAATAGGCCTTTGCAATCTTTTACATCTGTATTTGGAGACAGATCTAGGAAAAAAAAAAGGACTCATGAAGGGAGTGTTGCAGATCAGATGGGCTCTGGATCTGATGGTCCACTCTGCTGGAATGTGCTATACCCTTGAACCTCGGCTGCTAGCAAGTGACGGTGCCTGACATGTCAGGCTTGCTCCCCAGGCACTCGTTGTGATGTTTACTGTTAAAGTTGGGCAGGTGCTGAACCCCCTACTCTATATCAGCTTCCATATCACTCTGTGCATGGTTTGAGTTAGATCTCCCAAAACTGGTGGGGAGCAAACGCCACACATGTATATGTGTAATATTTGAAAATAATACATTTGTAAGTTAAGGAGGTTTACATCAAAGTAAAACAAATTTTGAAAGTTAATAAAACACAACCATTGGGGTTCCCAGGAACTTTTGGCCTTTTTCCTGTGGTGCACTTTTTCTTTTAATTTGGTCTCCATCATAAAAGTCAACATTAATCAATTATGCAAACACATTCACTCTTGCAACCTAAATTTGAGTCTTTAACACTAACCCACTTATTGTCTGGTAGTTGTTTGTACATTGACAGCATCTCCATTGAGTCTTATGTTCAAACATAGCAAAAAGTGTTCTTCCTAATTTGGTAAAGTACCCATTGGTCTTCAATGATGTGTCTTCATTTGGGGATTTAAAATTTAAGGGACATACTGGTGCTGCGCCTTCTGTTGGTTTTACCGTGTTTGTAGTGAACCTCCTTAAACTGCATGTATATGTCACTGTTCCTTTGTATGTGTGTCTCTCTACCACATAACCCAGCACTTCTTTCCTCAGCCAAGTGGCTAGGGGCGAGCCTAGCCAAGATTTTACCTCCAATGGACGCAAGTTTCTTTGGTGAAGATCTCTCCTGAGAGTTCGGGACTAGCAGGAAGAAGCGAGGAAATTTCGCCCGTTTGGTTCTGTCGGATAGGTATTTATGGACTCGGTCTGTGTGAATGTAAGCTGTAATATTTAACTGCTGAGAACAGATATTTTTTTGCAAGTGGCATTGAATGGTTGACCAAAGCATACATGGTAAGAACTGCTAGCAAGGGGGATACCTTTTTTGCCCTAAAGGATTGTCTGCCTTTAGCTCTAAGTTCTGTTGTACTGCAGAGAGGAGCTTAGATTTGTTAAGATTACTTCAGTTTAAAAAGTAGGTGAGATATGACTAGTTACATTAAATATAAATCTGAAGCTTTGCATTTGATTTCATATTTTTATTTCATTATTTTAATTGGTAAGTATATGTATAGAGTGTCACAAGCAACCAGCATGGGTGTAGACTTCCATCCATTGACCAGCATGTTCATATTACAGATATGACGGGCGTGGTCACCTGCATGACCTCTCTGCGTACGATGCTGAGTACGCCACATGGAACCGAGACTACCAGCTGTCTGAAGAGGAGGCGCGGGTAGAGGCGCTGTGTGATGAAGAGAGGTATTTAGCCTTGCATACGGACTTGCTTGAGGAGGAGGCAAGGCAAGGTACTGCTCAAGAAAGACTTACTTCAGCCACACCCTTTTAAAATTTTAAGTATTTAAAAAGTTACTCCCATTCATTTTTTTATACTCACTCTTTCTGATATTATCTTGACAGTACCCAGTGGATTGGAAAAACAGGAGTCTTTGCGTTCTGAGAGGACCTCAGGATAGTTTATATATAGAACCACAGAGAATTTTCCCAGCTTTTGAGGGCAGACTGGGATTTGAAAAAACAAAAACAAAAAACAAAACTCTTTAACTGTTCTTCTTTAACAGTATCGTATGAATTAAAATCGATGTTTTTGTCTTTGCCTTAATTATCTTTAATACAGTTCTTAACCCCAAAATTTCCTCAGCAGGAAGAAATTGTCCATAAAAGACGTGTATTCTGCTGTCTGTGGGTAAACACATACTGGCAAAAATACATAACAATCGATGCCAAGTGTGCATTTCCAGAAAAATTTTCTCCTCAAACAGAGATTGAAAAAAGTGTGTTGTATGCTTTACTGGTAGCTGTACTTTAGAAGTGAATGAAGTTTTTCTCAGTAAACGTCCATTTTTTGTTAATAAAATCCTCGTTTTTATTCAAGAGGAAGAATACAAAAGATTGAGTGAAGCGCTGGCAGAGGATGGGAACTACAGTGCCGTAGGCTTCACTTACGGCAGTGACTATTATGACCCATCAGAGCCCACGGAAGAGGAGGAGCCGTCGAAACAGAGAGGTGAGAGAGAGGAAGCCTGTCTCTTGTGGGCACTGGCCACAGCACTACTGGGACAAAGCTAGAAACTAGAAGATGGATTATGAGGTGGTGGAAAGACAGTTCTGACTTCGATTAGCTACCTAGATTAGTTCCTCTTAGGGTAGGTCTCACCAAGTTCTTTATCCTGGCATTCATGCTTCTGCATTGAACATACACTCTTGTGTTTGTCACTGTTCTGTTGCTGTGAAGAGACAGCAGAGCCAAAGGAAATGCTTATGAAAGAAAGCATTTAGCTGAGGGCTTGCTTAAAGTTTCAGAGGCTTAGTTCATTATCATCATGTCAGGGAGCATGCAGGCAGGCCCTGGAACAGTAGCTGAGAATATATTCTGATCCATAGGCAGAAAGTGAGATACTGTGGGCTTGGCATGAGTTTTTTAAACCTCAAAGCCCACCACCAGGGACACACTTCCTCCAACAAGTGCTGCTTCCTGGTGGCTAAACATTCAAATATATGAGCCTATGGGAACCATTCTTATTCAAACTACCACACTCCCATAGGCTCAATATCCATTCTGGGGTCACTGGAAAGTCAGTTTTGCCTAGGAATCATTAATGTCCATCTCTTTCCTATGAACCTCTGCATAGCCTACCCCCCACAGAGGTGTCCAGTGGAAAGATACTGAGGGGCTTGTTACACTAAACACAAAGACAAGACTGCTAGGATAACATTAAATTTTGAAGCTAGTGCCCTCCCTAGGCTAATGTTGCACCTTTAAGCATGAAAAACAAAAAACAAACAGTGCTATCAAAAACTCTAAGCACTTACAGTGTAAGCAGAGTCCTTGGTCATTTCTGTGAGCCCTGAGAGCACCATTATCACAGTAGGACATACTGATTGTCAGTAACAGTGATGTGAACTTCAGACATTAAGGACAGGTCGTTTGAACAAGAGGAAAACCTTTAACATTGGAAAGCTGTTCAGATATTTAAAATAGGAAACTGGATCACATCCTGCCGAGACTTAATGCCAGAGCTAAATCTGTTTGTGAATGTAAGTGAGATCACAGCTGCATATTCAAACAAGATGCTATCCCCTTGTGTCCTGCAGCTGCTCTAGTCGACCCTACCCCATCCCATCCACTGAGTGGTGTAGGAGAACAGCAGGCAAACAGATGTGCATGCAGCCTTTCCTTCCTGCTTTTGTGCAGCCACACTCATCACCTGCGGGCAGAGTGTAACATGCACAGCGGCTGTGTGGACTTGCTCAGACTTGGCAAGTGTAGCTTGGACTGTGTTGGGAAAGGCTTGAGGAGATACCTGCTTTCTGTGCTGAGAGAGATGGGGTGGGGAGATGAGAGGAGAGGAGGAAGCGTATGAATATGCGTCCCTGGCTGGCCTGGCCTGCATCTCACTATGAAGACCAGGCTGGCCTGAAGTTTGTTTCAGTGCTTTTGCCTTCCAAGTGCTGCTGCCTGCATTGGCTTCTAAAACTAACTTTCCCTCTGAGGTTGTGATGTGCTAGAAATTTTGCGGGCCTAAGAACTAAAACCCATTGATTTTTCTGGATCACATTATTTCTGCTCTACTTTGTTTTTGGTGTTTGGTTGTTTCGTTACCAGAAGGAGGAAATACATACTGTCACCATTTTCTAACTGAAGAATTTTGAAATGCAGAGAGGCCGTGTATTTTTTTTAAGATCACAGCATCTATCTTTAGACAGGAGCACTGAATTCCTAACATCGTAGCCATGCCCACAGGTCCATAGGCCCACAGGCCAGGTGCCAGGTTTTTCCAAAGATAGTTTCATTGGAACACAGCCATGTTCCTGCATCATTTATTGCATGCTTATGCTTCAGCAGAGTGTAATGGCAGGGCAGAACCTGTGGCCCCAGTTGGTGGTCCCCCTTTGCACTGTTTGCTGACCCGCTGTCCAGGCTTGGGTCTGTTGCAGCTTAGTACTGAGCAGAGTGGTGAATGCCAGTGTGGCTCCATGGGCTTCCTCTCACCATGCAGTTCTTGGTATTTTGTGCTGTTCTTTTCCTCATAAAGGCATGTTCCTAGAACTATACCATTTTCTTTCAGTATTGGGGATTGAACTGAACAGGTACTGAGTCAGTGAGCTACATCCCCAGCCCCCTTCTCACTAAGTTGCCCAGGCTGTCTTGAACTTGTACTGTAACCCAGATTGACCTGTCTCAGTCTCTTTTTAGCTGGGAATACAGGCTTTTGCCACCAGACTCAGCTGATTTTTTTTATTTTTATTTTTTTAAATGGGAACAGGGTTCATCTGAAACTTACAGTGTGACTTTTTTTTAACTTGTACTATTTAGTAAAATACTGTAAACTTAGTGGGATTCTGTTTGGAACCTAGTATCACTGATTGCAAAATTCAGTGTCACATATTAAGATACTTGGTTTTTCTGAGCCAGCAGCATGTCTCAATATTTATTGACTTTCAAGATTTAAGTATTCTCATCTGTTGAGCATTCAACCTTTCAGCACTATCCTAATGCATGTATGCCTGTGTCTGTGACAGATTCCTCACTGCCCCCCGCAGCACACCGTGGTCATCCTGTTCCTTCCTCTTACACTTTCACAGCTTCTCACCATTATACATGCTTTTAACATTTTGAGTGACTCTGGTTTTATATCACAATGATTGGTTGGGTTTTTTGTTGTTGTTGTTGTTGTTGTTGTTTGGTTTTGTTTGCTTCAATATAGTGTTTCTCTGTGTAGCCTAGACTGTCTCTTGGAATTCACTCTGTAGGCCAAGCTCGCCTCAAACTCACGAAGATCTTCCTGCCTCTGCCTCCCAAGTACTGGGATTAAAGGCATGCAACGCCTCCACCAGCTGATGATTGGTTTCTATTTCACACTTTCAGTGTGGTTTTTCTGTGAATAACGGTCTATGTAAGAGTAGAATCTATTTATCCATCTGCTCCAGAAGCTCTTTTAAATTGGTAGTCATGGAGCTGACAGGATGGTTCAGCTGATATAGTTGCTTGCCACCAAGCCTGGCAACACCAGTTCAATCCCCAGAAGCCATGTGGTGGAAAAACTGACATCTACACACATGCAATAGCATGCTCAGATGTGCACTCACACACAAAATAATGTAGTTATAAAATAAATAAATTGGGCTAGGCATTGGTGACGTACACCTTTAATCCCAGCACTTGGGAGGCAGAAGCAGGTGGATCTCTGAGTTCGAGGCCAGCCTGGTTTACAGAGAGAGTTCCAGGACAGCCTCCAAAACAATACAGAGAAACCCTGTCTCAAAAAAAACAAAACAAAACAAAAAATAAATAAATAAATTGGTAAGGATTTATCTGTTTGGTCCCTTGGAATTCAGAAAAGGTGGTGTGTGGGACCTTGTCTAGTATACAACAGACAAATGTTAAATGGACTACAATTAAAAAATAGAAATGGAAAAAATACCACTGATTGCTTTTTTAAACATGCTGGTTTGCTTGAGTACAGACAGCTTAATTGTTTTACAACTTGGTGTAAATTGATTTTTCCAGACATTGATTACCTTGTGTTACAATCTGGGTTCCACAGAAACAGTTGGAGGATGCTTTTGTCTGTGAAAGAGGGTCTGTGAAAAGCAAATGCAGCTCAGTGGTAGAGAAAACCCTAAGCTTGGCAAGAAAATGACCCCCTCAGTACAGGATAGACTAACTTAGTAGGTCTATAGTAATGTCAGGAGGGGAATAAGACTTTAAGAACTATAAGTGTATTGGTGGGTAAGAGCATTAGTTGTACATCTGTGAGGACCCTGTAAAAGCTAGGAAGCAATAGCAAGAATGTCTGTAATCCCAGCACTTCTTTGGGAGGTGGGGTAGAACTAGTTGGGACACTACAAAAACAACAAAAAGCCCCTGTTTCATGGTTGAAGGCAAGAACTGATATCCAAGATTAGCCTTTGATGTCCACACATGCATGATGGCAAGCCCATGCCCACAGATACACCATCCATAAACACATGCACATCATATGCATTTCCCAACCCCCCCAAAGTAAAAAAAAAACAGTTTTAGGGGGGTTTCAAGCAGGGTTTCTCCGTGACTTTGGAGGCTGTCTTGGAACTCACTCTGGTAGACCAGGCTAGTCTCAGACTCACAGAGATCGCCTGGCTTTGCTTCTCGAGTGCTGGGATTAAAGGTATGCTCTACTACCGCCGGCCAAAACCAACTTTTTTAAAGAATACATATTATTTATTAGGTGTCTGCTAAGCCTTGAGCATTCTGCTCTGAGGAAGGTGGCCATGTGAGTTAGCTCCCTTACACCAGGGAAATGAGCTGACTGCATGGAAACAGACATGGAAACGGATGTGAGAGAAGCTTTTGCTCAGAATCCTAGGGTTCAGAAATACCTAGGGTAGATTTCAGATTACCACCTGCCCCCAGAACATGCTTTTTTGCTCACCACCACCACCTCCTCCTTATCCATGAACGGGGAGAACAAAGTGTAGAGAGAGAGAGCAGGAAGCTGAAGGGTTTCTGGAAGCAGTGGTCAGGGGGTCAAGAGTCAGGAAAAGTCCACACTGTATCTTTGCCTGATGTTGGCGGGTCATCATGCTGCAGTTCTTAATTTTCCTTTGTTTTTTTCCATAGAAAAGAATGAGACTGAAAACTTGGAAGAAAATGAAGAGCCTTTCATTGCCCCTTTAGGATTAAGTGTCCCGTCTGATGTGGAGCTGGTATGTGTGCTTCTTCACAAGCCTCTGCACTGCTGCTTGTTGCTGTTCTTTGTGGTACATGAGAGCACAGTAAAACATAGTCGCTGCTTAGGTCCTTTGTTGTGGGTGCCAGGTGTGATGGTGCACACTGTCATCTTGGGACTTGGTAGGCTAAGGCAGGAGGATCTCAAGTTCCAAGTCAACCTGAACACTCTAAAGTGGGATCCTAGCTGAGAAAACAGAAGGGGAGGGTATGGCGAGAGAGATGGCTCAGTAGTAGATTGCTTTCTGTCCTAGCAAAGGATGCTGGTTCAGTTCCCAGCAGCTACACAGGTGGCTCACGACCTCCTGTACTCCAGTTCCAGGGGATCACATACCCTTGGCAAGCTCCTGCATACACGCTACACCTAACCTCATGAAGGTACATGTACACATATAAATACTGTACTTCTTAAAACAAGACGAAAGAGGCAGGTAATGAGCATCGGGCGGGTCAGCTCGGCACACCAGTGAGTTCTGTAGGAATCTCCCTATTTATCAGTCAAGTCAGGGATGGGCCGAGATGTTGCTGTCCACAGACAGATGTGAAAACAGTTGTGCTCAAGACAGTCATGCTTTCAGCAAAGTGCCTGGTTCTGGCTTTGTTTAGTGTGAATTGTGAAGGCACTTGGGTCCATGTGACATGACCAAGCTGCTTGAAAGAGGAAACAGAGGTAGAGCTCTCTGAATTCACCTACCTATCTCTTGGGGTGCCAGTTTGGTGTTTTGTTTGATAAGCCATCTTGCCAGTCCCTTTTTAAATTAGTTTTGAGACACAGTCCTGTGTAACTCAGGCTGGCCTCAGACTCGGTATATAGCTTATATTGGCCTTGAACTCCCATCCTCTCTACCTCCCCTCCCAACCAGGGTATATCAAGCATGTGCCACCAGCCCAGCATTCCTGTTATGTTTGGAAAGAGTTCCTAAGGGTTTATGTTCAGGAAAACATGTTTGCTTTGACATTATTCTCACTCAGTGGCAAGTGTCAGAGGTATGAAGGTTCCAGGGTTTGTGCCTGGCACGGGAGGACAGACAGTAGACACCATAGCCCACCCACAGTGACAACACTCTGACACTCTCCCTCCTTGGTGTGGTGGCCACCCTCAGTTCACCATGGACTTGAGGCTCTTGCTGTTTTCTGCTCCTGTATCATATGAGGGAATGTGGTGGCTGGCTCCTTCTTTTGACATCTTTTAAGATCTTGATAGGAATTTTTTTGTGATAACAATAATGTTTGCTATGGTCAGAGCTGAACATGTTTACCTGAAGAGCTAATGTCCTAAGTATTACATTAATACGTTTTTTGGTATTTTTTTTAAGATTTCATTTTAAATTATGTTTATCTGTGTGGGGATATGTGCACACGTGTGAAGATGCCCACAAAGGCCAAGAGAGGGTGTGAGATCCTCTGGAGCTAGTTACATGCATTTCGGGTTGCACAATGTGGGTAGGTGCTGGGAATCACCCACTCCCATTGTTTTTGAGATAGGATTTACTATATGGTCTTGGCTAGTCTGTAATTCATAGAGATCCTGGCTCTGCTGAATGCTGGAATCAGAAGCATGCGCTACACACCTAGCTTACTAAGTGTATATTAAAATAGCATTCTGTAGTGCTGGAATGGTATGGTGGTCTAAAATGAAAGAGCATAGTAAAGAGCAAAGACACTCACGTCATCTCTGATACTGTAATAAAGTACTGACAGGGGACACGTCAACGAGGAAGGAAGGGTTTATTCTCACAGTCCTGGCAGAGAAGTCCAGATGACAGGAGCTTGAAGTAGTTGGTCATACCACATTCCAAGTCAGGAACAGAGAGGAATGAATGCATGCTCCTGCTCAACTTACAGGGGCCAGGGTCCAAGTCAGGGAATGGTGCTGCCCACAGTGGGCATGTCTTCCCACCTCTGTAATCAATCAAGATAACCCCTAATAGGCATGCCCAGAGACCCCTCTCTGAGATGATACCAGTTCTGTCAAGTTGACAGTTAGAATTAACCATTATAAATGGCTTTCTTCAGGAGAAATAGTTTTTATTTTATTATCCCGGTATGGTAACAGATTTTAAGGTATATTCATAAGATACTTTGGGGCTGTCTCAGCAGGTGAAAGCACTTGCCCTTGGAGCCTGGCATTCTGAGTTTTATTCCTGAGACCATGTGGTAGAAGAGTACTGACTCCTGCAAATTGTCCTCTGACTTCCACAACGATATACCCACACACATACAGAACATAAAAATGTGAAGAAGAAAAAAAACAACCCAAGATGTTTTGGTTTTGTGCAATGATTGGTGCTGTGTTTGAGCTATTGTAGTCACAATGTTACCACAGTAGTTGCTTTTAAATCACTGAGACCAACAAGTTGACTTGGTCCACTAAGAGCCTGTGTGGTGAGATCATGCCTGCCTTTATGGATCATGCTGAGGTGATCTTTGATCCTTGGCATGTTTATAGAATGGGCTGTTGTACAAATGAATCTTTGTGTTAAGCCAGAGCTGGTAGGAATCTGGATCAGGGCCCAAGTCCCAGTGCAATCAGATTTCCTTTAACATGGAACCAGTTCATTCGGAGAGCCAAATAACTTAAACTGTAAGCATTTCTTTTTTTTTGAAAAAGTGTTTTATTTTATTACAATTTATTTGTTTGTTGGAGGTGTTGGGGCACCATGCACACCACTGCATCTGTGTGGAGGTCAGAGACAGCTTCTGGAAGTCAGTTCTTCCACAATGTGGCTTCCAGGAATTGAACTCAAGTCATCAGACTTAGCAGCAGACAACTTTACCCACTAAGCCAACTTATCAGTTCTGACATTTCTCCTTTTTAAAGTGAGCGGGACAGTATTAATTAGAAACTAAGCTTGAGAAATGAAGCCACTTTTTTTTTTTATCAAGGATGAGGTCCTGAAGTTATGTAAGCATCTTAATATTGGGGGGGGTCTTTTTTCTTTCTCTTTCTTCCTTTCTTCCTTTCTTCCTTTCTTCCTTCCTTCCTTCCTTCCTTGCTTCCTTCCTTCCTTCCTTCCTTCCTTCCTTCCTTTCTTTCTTTCTTTCGTTGTTTTTTGGTTTCAAGACAGTTTCTCTGTATTGCTTTGGAGCCTGCCCTGGAACTCACTCAGTAGACCAGACTGGCCTTGAACTCACAGGATCAGCCTGTCTCTGCCTCCCATGTGTTGGGATTAAAGGCATGTGCCACCAATGCTCAGCTGTGTGTGTATGTGGGGGATGGGGGGTTCAAGACAGGGTTTCTCTGTAAAGGTATTGGCTGCCCTAGAACTCAATTTGTAGACCACGTTGGCCTTGAACTCAAGAGATCTGCTTGCCTCTGCCTCCCAAGTGCTGGGATTAAAGGTGTGGGCCCCACACCTGGCTGCATCTTGAAATCTTAGCCACCCATCCTTAGTGGGAATAATTTCCAGTCTTTTTTTTTCCTAATGTTTTCTCTTATTTTAACATTAAAAATATTGTGCATTTGTTTATTTTGGGGTTTTGGGAGCACACACATGCCACAAACACACATGGAGGTCAGAGGGCAACTCTCAAAAGTTAGTTCTCTCCTTCCACCACATAGATTCTGGTAACTGAATTCAGGTTGTTAAGGATGTCAAGCATCTTCACCTTCTGAACTACCCTTTAACCTTAAAATGTCTTATTTCTTAATTTGGGACAGTAAAACCAGGCTGTTTCTTTCTCTTTTTTTAATAACAGATTTTCTGTTTGTTCTTTTTTTCTTCAAAAAATTTTATTTATTTACTATGTATACAGTGTTCTGTACTCCATGTGTCTCTTCATGCCAGAAAGAGCACCAGATCTCATTACAGATAGATGGTTGTGAGCCACTATGTAGTTGCTGGGAATTGAACTCAGGACCTCTGGAAGAGCAGCCAGTGCTCTTAACCTCTGACCCATCTCTCCAACTCCAGACTGTTTCTTTTAGTTAAGGCATGTAACCTATTTTTATGCACACATGCATGTTACCACACACTGATCACAGATTGTTTTCCCCTAGCCACCAACAGCCAAAATGCATGCCATCATTGAGCGCACAGCCAATTTCGTGTGCAAACAGGGAGCACAGTTTGAGATAATGCTGAAGGCCAAGCAAGCACGAAACTCGCAGTTCGACTTCCTGCGGTTTGATCACTACCTCAACCCCTACTACAAATTCATCCAGAAAGCCATGAAGGAAGGACGGTACACGGTGCTGGCAGAAAACAAGAATGAGGAGAAGAAAAGTATGTGGGTCTGTCCTGGCTTCTCGGGTGGGGCGGATGGCCTGGAAGTACAAAGGTGCCTGTTCTCAGAGGGGTGTGACTGGGATCCAGGCTTAAGTTCTAGGTGCCTGTGAATTGCTGGGTAGTCGTTCCAGCATGCCATTCTTAATCCTTAGGCCATCTTTTTTCAGATGGGGAATACAGTTAAATATCAATGCCAGCCAAGCAGCCATCTAGGCTGCAATTGTGTCCTCTCATTTTGACAGCTTAACAGTCTGCAGAGGAGAGTTTCTTCACTCTCAAATGCAAGTGCTTGCATCACTGTGCGTGGGGCAGGAAGTTAAATCCTGCTTGTTCACAGAATGAAGGTGGATGTTTCTTTGGTCTTAGGATTGCCTATCTGATTCTTAGATTCTTAGAAAGCCAGTTGTCTCCTTTTTGAGTGACACCTAGGGGCAAGTCTCCCTAGCCATGTCTTCCCATCCCACAGCCTTGCACCTTCAAGGAAACACTCTGCCACAGCTGTTCCTCCAGCCCAGCTGTTTAAATCTTACCTGTATATTGTATCTGTCCCACCTTGATAGTGGTTTTGGAATTTTGTTGTTTTTATTTTGTTTCCTGTTGGTAATGTTTTGCTTTCATGAATTTTCATGAATAAAGAAGGTTTTTGCCCTTTTGAAAATAAAAACCTATTACAGCACTCCAGTAAATGCCAAAGGGAGGCTATGAGGTGAACGAGGCGGCACTCTTTCCTATCTGGCTTTTTTTCTGAACAGCTTATATAACCATAAGGAATATTTCCCCGTGGGCTTTGTACGTGGATAGCCAAGAAAAAGCCATGCAGGACTCTGTCCCTGTCTGCTTTCAAGTGTTTCCACAACTCATTGGTTCATTCCCTTCCCTCCTTTCCCTTCTCTTCATTCTCATCCTCTTCTCTCTCCTCACTAAGGAGACCCCATTGTCTCAAACTCAGATCCACCTACCTCTAGCTTCCATGTGCTGGGATTAAAAGCATGTGCTGACATGTCCAGTCTGCCTCTCTCCTTTAATGTTTCCTTATTTATGTTGTGTGTATGGGCCCATTCAGGCCATGGCATACTTTGTGAGGTTGAGAGAATGGGATTGCACAAGTCAGTTCTCTGCTTCTACCGTGTGGATTCTAGGGATCAAACTTACTGGGGGAGGGGGGGAGTTAGTCCTTTTTACCGGTTTGTTTGCTTAAGATTTATTTTTTTATATGGTCGGGCAGTGGTGATGCATGCCTTTCATCCCAGCACTTGAGAGGTAGAGGCAGGCTGATCTCTGAGCTAGTCTACAGAGCAAGTTCCAGGGCAGCCAGGGCTTCACAGGGAAACTCTGTCTCTGAAAACAAACAAAAAGGAAACAAAAGAGAGGTTTCTTTTTTTATTACATGTGTGTGCTTGTGTATTTGTGAATCTATTCCACATCCATTTGGGTACATTCTGAGTCCCCTGGAGCTAAAGTCACAGGCAGTTGTGAGCACCCAGTACAGGTCCTCTGGAAGAACAACAGATGTTCTTAACTGCTAAGCCATCTCTAGCCCCATGTTTAGTTTGGTCCTTGAAACTATGTCTCAAGTAGCCCAGGTTATCCTTGAACTCTGATCCTCCTACTTCTACTTCCCAAGTGCTGGGACTAATTACAAACATCTGCAACCATATCCAGGAGACTCTCTTTAAATTTGATTTTAATGAGCGTATTTATAGAATACAATGATAATTTAATACATGCAAATAGTTAAACCAAAAGCAAAACGAACCTGTTTTTGAAATACAATCTGTAGCCCAAGCTAGCTTGAGATTTGTAGCTGTTCTCCTGCCTCAGCCTCTCAAGTGCTGGGATTGCAGGTGTGTGCCATCATACCTGATAGCCGACATCTTGAATTCAATTGCAGAGTCGGGGACTACCTCTGACAATGAAGATGAAGATGAGGAGGAGGATGGGAGCTACCTGCACCCATCTCTCTTTGCTTCCAAGAAGAGCAGCCGCCTGGAAGAGCTGATGAAGGTCTGTGTCTTCTCATAGGCTGTGTGTTTACACTGTCAAAAAACCACTGCTCATTCATGTTTGGAAACGCAAAGCCTACCATTTCCTGTGGTACAGCTGTATCTTTTTTTTTTCCCACGGAGGTGTCTGCATGTCTGTGTTTCATGTGTTACCTACATCCCCACATTACAGGTTGCACAAACAAAAGATTGTTGCTTTATTTATAAATAGTGTTGGTGAAGACTTAAGAGCTGTTCTGTTATGTAAATTAGAATTTAGGATCAGATTTTCTAGGCTTTTTTGGGGGGAGTGTTTTGTTTCAGCATTTCTTTCTTTTTTTTCCGGGGGTGGGGGTGGAGGGTATTTCGAGACAGGGTTTCTCTGTGTAGCTCTGGCTACCCTGGAATTCACTGTGTAGATCAGGCTGGTTTGGAACAGAGATCCACCTGCCTCTGCCTTCGGAGTGCTGGAATTAAGGGCATGCACCACCACTGCCCGGCAGAAATATTTTGTGTGATTTTTCGAGACAGGGTTTCTCTGTTGTAATAGTCCTGGCTGTCCTGGCATCTGCTTTGAAGACCAGACTGGCCTCAAACTCACAGAGATCTACCTGCCTCTGCTTCCCAGGTGCTGGGATTAAAGCTGTGCACCTTCACCACTAGGCTTTTTAAACATCTGCTTCATCAAGTTCCCTTGACAGACAGTTCCTAAGTGCATGCTTTTACCTCTGGCTCTTTGGCTCTCCCCTCATCCTTATGAGAATCCCATCAGTGCTTGCACACTCTCACTCTGCCATTTGTGATGTAGAAGACAGAATTTATGAGATTCAAGCATGGTTCTCCACAGTCACACGGGGTAGTGGATGTCTACGAGGAGTGGCTCTTGATTAATGGGAGGGTAAGAGCTGTTGATAAGGAATCAAGTCCCAATGAGGAAGAATAGAAGTTTGAAGTTTCGTGAATTTGGATGTCTACACCTTGAGTGGTTGTCTAGTTTTGATGTTCATCCACCCTTTGCGTAGAAGTTGTTATGGAGCCGAAGCCTGCTTAGCTCCTTTGGTACTCTCAGCCAGCTGGAGCACCTGGCCCCAAGTGGACAGGACCTCTGTGTATATGTGCAGCCTAAATAACAGTGGCTGTTGGCAAGAAGGTTGTGTTTGGGAGTATGTGCTCTCACCAGTGGTGGCATGCTTAGGGGGAAGGTGGTTTTCAGAGGCGCAAGAGGGCAGGAGCTATCCTGGAATTAGTATGCCAGCACACTTGAGCTCAGGTGTGGTTCTGACAAGGTTCTTGTGATCATTGGACACATGCACGCAATTCTGCCTCCATGACCTCTCAGCTCTCCTTTTTTGTTCAGGGTCTGACATAGTGGTTCTGCCTCTGCAGTGGCAACTTTCACTGTGTCTCTGTGTGCTGGGCATACCCACGATACTGTGAGTTTGAATCTTACCTCAACAGGAAGGTTTTACATAGTTCAGAACATAGAAAATGCTAAAGCCAGTGTCTTCTCTGTCCTTAGCCCTTGAAGGTGGTGGACCCAGATCACCCTCTAGCAGCCCTTGTCCGGAAAGCACAGGCCGACAGCTCTGCTCCAGCCCCACCCACTGCAGATGGCACACCTGCACAGCCCTCCCAGGTGGAGTACACGACTGACTGTGAGTACCTGAAGTGTCTTGTTCTAAATCCAGCTTGCAGCCGCTGGCCGCCCCCCAGTGATGTGGAGCTTTAACTGCAGACCTTCCTGTAGTCCAGGTGGGAGGTGTCTGGAGGGCATGCTGGCCTACCCTGTGGCTCTGTGTTCCTGAAAGGAAGAGTGCCCTGGTATTGGCGTCAGATTAGGCACAGTTTTGTTGAGAAGAACAGCAAACAGGGATGGAGAAAGTTGGGGTTGTTTAGATATCTGAAGTTTGTAAGATCAAGCGGATCTACATGGGGTTGATAGGTTTCAGGTATGCTCCTGTTATCAGCTACAAGGACCAGAGCCCTCAGCCACCAACACGGCCTCCTGCCTGTGATCATTGGGTACAACAGGTGGACTTGGGTTTTAACAGCAGATCCAAGCCGGTGCTACAGCCTAGGATCTGTTTGTCAAAGAAACTGCTCAAAAAACCATCAGAAAGTCCCAGCATCCTTGGCTGTGGGACTCCTTTAGTTGGGAACAGCCTTGGTCTCTCCAGGGCCCCAGCTCTGCTGGGTACCTGCCTGAAATTATCGCCGCCCTTTGTATTCTTTCTCTGTAAGTGTCTGCATCAGCTTGTTGGTCTTGTCTTATGGTGCTGTTGGCGTCCAGAGTTGCTTGATTCCAAATCTCTGGCCCATTGCTGGACATTCACAGCAGCCTGGCTCTGCTCAATTAGGTGACTCTTGGTTTGTAGCCAAGCATTAGTACAGCACTTACAAATGCAGCCAAGTAGAGGAAAACCAATCTCAGCTGTTGGTTTTAGTTCTCTTGTGGTAAATTCGTTCATAGACAGCAATTAGATAGCTTAAGTATTAACAGAAAACTGCTGGGGCCCTGTGCCATCTATACTTTTATTTTCAACATTCTTTCTTTCACTTATTACTCATGTGTGTGTGATGGAGTGATGCACATGTCATGTTGTGTGGAGTCTTTTCTACCTTTATGTGGGCTCTGGGGACAGGACTCGGTTATCAAGATTACACAGCATGCACTCTACCACGCACTGAGCCTCTCCCTGGCCCTTATAGTCTCCATCTTTCAAATGTGTTTTACCGTTAAACTTTCAAAGGTTTGGAACTGATTGTAATGTTTAAAACATTGCCTGCACACTGTGGCCTGTGACTTATCCTGGTATGTATCTATGTATCAAGGTCAGATACAGTAGTCTTCAGAGTTCCTTCTTTCCCACAGTAGCACAGAGGGGTGGAATGACCTCATGCATATGTGTGACTGAACACTGTCATTCGTTAACCTGCTCCTGTCCTCAGCAAGTGTCCCCACCCCTTAGAACTTAGCTGACAGGACAGGGGCTGGGAGTGCCGAAGACTGCCTGCCTGCCTTCTTCCTTCCTTCCTTCCTTCCTTCCTTCCTTCCTTCCTTCCTTCCTTCCTTCCTTCCTCTTCCTGTCTTTCTCTCCCTGTTTCTCTCTGTTTTTCCTAGTTATCTAAACAATAGTAAGGAAGAATATGAGAAATTTGAAAAGAAGTCTAATATAGTGGAACATATCCTAACAGATGATAAAATGTTATTTTGCTACTGGAGGCCCTTGAAATAGTTGATGCCTTAACAAAATATGTAGTGAAAAGAGGTCTGAAGACGGTAGTTGTGGATCTAAAATGAGTTTTCAGGAGATCTCATCATCACCAAGCTGACCATCCCCAAGTGCTAGGCTTGGTCTTTATCTTTTTACCATTGTTACTTAGTGTCTTTGTGTGTGTGTGTGTGTGTGTGCATGCTTGGGTATAGCACATGCATACGCCACAGACACATATGGCGGTAAGAGAACAACTGTTGGTTCTCTCCCTCCACCTTCACAAGGGTTCTGGGATCAGACTCTGGTTGCCAAGCTTGCGGTCCACCCTCTTTAAGAATTCCTTTTTATGTGATCGTCTCCATCCTTTCAGCTCTGGACCACAGCTGCTCCTTGGACTCCAGCAAAGCATGTCCCCCATTCCTCACCCCACCTCCATCCTTGTCGGGGCTTTTGTCCTGGGAAGCAGGTGCCAATTGTAGGCTTTTATTTTGTTATTTTGAGACTTCAACAGTTTCTTCCCCTCCTGTAATTGCACAGTAGCTTTTGAAAGCACTTGGCTTTTTATCCAATTTTTCCAAAGCATTCAACTTTATATTCACAGAAACAGCAATTTTCTTCTTATTCGAATTGTGTATTGGCATAAAATTTAACCAAATACGTAATTACAGTAAGTTTAACTAAAAAGAAAATGTTTAAGAGAAAAACTGGTAAAAAGCAAAATTTCAACCTTCCAAAGAGGAGCCTACCCTTTCTGGTGTGTCATGACACGGGCTGCCTCGGTCAGGTGGAACCCCTCCCACTCAAGAAGCTCCTGCAGTCTTAGCACAGAGAGCTAGCTGGCTCTGCAGAGGGAGGCGCAGAAGAGAGCCTGAAGGCCACATGTCACAGCCAGGAGTCCTTGGAGAGGAGACACCGTCAAGAGTAGTGTCTGGAAAATAGAGCCAGCTAGAGTGTGTGGATGGCCAACAGCTGACTTCTGAATTCAAGAGCCAGATGGGGGAGGTTCTCAGCCAAGGAGGAAAAAAGAACCAGTAGTCAACACTTGATTACATCCGTGAATGAGTGTTTTGTTTGTTTTTTAATGAAACTCACGAGAAAATGGGGGAATGTTTAATGTACTAATAATTTTCACAGTTTGATGGGCAATAAGTGACATTCCATTCAGAAATTTGTACAAATAACCCTGAGGTGAAAACGACTATGCTTCATTTTAGAGGTTCAGCTCAGCTGCTCTCCAGCTGCTGAGCAAGGGCTTGCCTAGGAAGGCTCCACTGTGTGTCAGGACAAAGTTGGCTTAGATGCCTCTGGAATATCATATCTGTAGTCATGGGCATCTTAACGAAAAGGTTTGAATGCAAAAGCAGACATCACTGAAGCAGAAAAGAGGAAACAGAAGGACAGGTTTTTATTAGTGGGAGTGTGTGTGTGAGCAGGCAGTATAAATGGCATTAAGTGTGAGAATCTTAAACACACATTCTTTGATCCAGTGTATCCCCATTAATCTCCAAGGATGCCCATTCTAAGTAAGGCTTTAGTAGTGGTGACCAAAGGTTGATGTAGTTTGCCAGAGCTTGGCAGGAGCTGCATGGGTGTTTTGCTCCCCTGCCCACCCCCTGGGCACTGGAGGTTGATGTGAGCAGAGTTGCCTGCACTGCTGTGGGGCCCACAGAGTGTGTGACTTCTGAGGAAGGAGTGATGCTGTGGGAGGAGTCCAGCATGGGGTGGCAGGGAGGACATCTGTGTAGGTGTCTGAAGGGCACAGTGCCATTGAGAACTGGGAGAAGGAAGTTGAGGCCAGTGGTGGCTGCTTTATCTGCCTTTTTCAACAGTTCCATGTTATTTAAAGTGGTAAGGACCCCTTGCCAACAGACTTCTTGTTTTGTTTTGTTTTTTTGAGGCGGGATCTCATGTTACCCAAGCTTGACTTAAAGTCACTATTGTAGCTAAGGATGACCTTGAACTTCCTACTCTCTTCCTTCAACAGGTACCATTACACCTGGTTTTAGATGATGCTAGGGACAAACCTAGGGCTTCATACAAGCTAGAAAAACACTGTACCACTGAGCTGCAGCCCCAGCCTTTGGTATTCAGATATGGTGATTATTTAGAGTTCTGTTACTGATCGAAGGAAGTTTATCACATCTGTGACATTGATGTACTACCTTAGAACTGCCTCCACCACCAGCTAGTGTCTAGGCACACAGCCCTGTAGGTCTCTGCTAGCAAAGCCAGTGACTCTGCTCTTTTTGCTCTGCTCAGCCACTCAGGACACACTCAGGCTCCTTGTGACTCACTTCCCACTAATTTTCCAGGATTTGGGTAGCCTGTGAAAAAGGACATTTAATTTTTATTTTATGAAATTTTTCCTAGCTCCTTTAATGTAGATGTATAAAATTAACAATTTCTTTTATTTCTTAGCTTGATAGTGAACCATTTTTCAAGCTCTATTCTATATTACTTTTTTGCAACTTAGCAATAAATCCTTATAGGAAAGTATAATAAGTAAATTATGCAAGAGACATTAATGCTGAAATACTGTCCACTGTCAGAGCCCAAAAATACTTTGTATAATGTTCATAAATAGCCAAAATTAAAGTATTCCTTGTGACTAAATTTTCTCCATGTATACACAGGATGTGTGTGCCACAGTGTTCTTGTGGAGGTCAGAGGGCAATTTTATGGAATCAATTCATCAGTCCTATGCACAATCAATTCTACCTGCTAAGCCATTTCCCTAGCTGTATCCTAGTTTAAATTGTGTTATTATATTTTAAATTTTGTTTTATGTGTGTGCTCACATATAGGGAGGTCAGAGGACAACCTGCAGGTATCAGTTCTGTCTATCCACCATGGGTTCAGGGATCAAATTCACATCAGGCTTAGCAGCAATCCTCTATACCCACTCAGCCATCTCACTGGTTTCTGTCCCAATGTGAAACAGTTGGTTTCCTGGCTGGCATTTTCTTTTTTAGGTAGTGTAATAGTCAAGGGAGGTAGGAAGAAGCAGGGAAAACTCTATGCTTCTTGGTATTCATGAGCATCCTTGATGAGGTTCAGGCCCAAGCAACTTCCTCAACACAGAGGAGAGGGATGAGTTGGGGCTGCACAGCAGCAAAACTTGAACAGTGTGGGTTATGGTGGAAAGGAGGTTTTACTTGAGCTCATCTCAGACACTGTGATTTGTTTTAAACTCAGTGCTGAACTATAGATACACCTGTTCACCACCCAAAAAAGCCAGCTCCGAAAGAACTCTTTCTAGGTCAGAGTAGAGATCTGGAGGTCCTAGGATGTAGCTCAGAGACAGAGCACTTGCATGGCAGGCACAGGACCCCAGGTTCAGTCCCAACACCAGTAAGGACAGGAAGGAAGTTACATGTCTTTGTCTTAGAGGGAATGAGTCCCCGTGAAATCATTTTCTTCTCTAGGTTTTATACCTCAGT